GTTTCTGCCCACAGACTGACCACCAAGAGGGACGTGGTAGGCCGCTATGGCCGCCACGTAGACTTTCAAGGTGGAGTGGGTCAACCCTTCAGCGAAACGGGCCTGCAGGAACTCCAGCACTGAACCAACCAGGGTCGAGCTAGCGGTCTCTGCACCAAGAAGTGAAAAGCTTCCACTTCAAGGCGTACAGTTTCCTAGTGGAGGGAGCTCTGGATTGGAGGATGGTCTCAACAACCTCAGTTGAGAGGCTATGAGTTGTGCCCCCTCAGGGGCCACACCCACAGCTTCCACAACTCTGGGATGGTGCCCCCCGCCTGTGAGAGGAGATCCCTTCTGATGGGAATCTCCCATGGAGAGCCACTGCTCTCCACAGACTGCGGGCTGGGCGGCCACTCATGGCCGCTCCCCAACCAGTGAGGGATGCATCAGTCATTAGCGTTATGCGTCGACAAGGAGCTCCCAGCACTGGGCCCTGTGACAAAAACCAAGGATTCCTCCACATGTCTAAGGCAAGAAAGCATCGCCGCGTGACCTTGATCATGGGAAACGGATTTCCCCTCGGGGAAAACCCCTTGGTCTTGAGCCACCACTGTAGGGGTCTCATGTACAGCAGGCCAAAAGGTATCACGTTGAACGCAGCTGCCATCAGACCCAGCAGTTTTTGAAACCGGCCTTCTCCCACTCTCACGACTGAGAGTGGATTGACTCGATCCGAGCAGGAAACAGATGGGCCTGCATCATGGTCGAATCCCACACCACGCCCAGATAAGTGGTCCTCTGTAATAGAGAAAGCACACTTTTCTTGGCGTTCTGTCTCAACCCCAGCTCTTTCATGTGGGTGAGAATGACATCTCGATGCCGAACCACCGTCTGCACCGTCTGAGCTAATATCAACCAATTGTCTATATAATTGAGTATGTGGATGCCCTGGAGTCGCAGTGGAGCCAGAGCAGCATCCACACACTTTGCGAAAGTGCAGGGTGAGAGTGCAAGGCCAAACGGAAGAACCCGATATTGGTAAGATTCGCCCCTGAAAGCAAACCTCAGGAATTTCCTGTGTTGGGGATGGATGGAGACATGGAAGTATGCGTCTTTCAGATCGTCGTGACGAACCTGTCCTCGGACCTGATCTGAGACACGGCTTGTTTGAGTGTGAGCATCCTGAATTTCAGTCGCATTACTGAGCGGTTCAACTGACGCATTCATGTGGGTGAGAATGACATCTCGATGCCGAACCACCGTCTGCACCGTCTGAGCTAATATCAACCAATTGTCTATATAATTGAGTATGTGGATGCCCTGGAGTCGCAGTGGAGCCAGAGCAGCATCCACACACTTTGCGAAAGTGCAGGGTGAGAGTGCAAGGCCAAACGGAAGAACCCGATATTGGTAAGATTCGCCCCTGAAAGCAAACCTCAGGAATTTCCTGTGTTGGGGATGGATGGAGACATGGAAGTATGTGTCTTTCAGATCGTCGTGACGAACCTGTCCTCGGACCTGATCTGAGACACGGCTTGTTTGAGTGTGAGCATCCTGAATTTCAGTCGCATTACTGAGCGGTTCAACTGACGCAGATCTAAAATGTGACTCAACCCTCCATCCTTCTTTGGAACGATGAAGTACCAGCTGTAGAACTCTGACTTTCTGTCGAGAGGTGGGACCACCTCGATGGCCTCCTTCCTCAAAAGAGTGTTTACTTCTTGTTCCATAACCAGAGCCTGCTCAGGGCCCACCAGAGTGGGAATCACGCCGTTGAAACGAGGTGGAGAAGAACCAAACTGAATGCAGTAGCCTTTTTCTACAGTGTGCTGGACCAATTGAGACACATTTGGCAGACGCTTCCACGCTGCCAAATAGTCTACTAAGGGAATCAGACTCTCGAGACTGACCTTTGGTGTTATTAGAGCGGCTAGCTCAGTGCCCTGAAGCGGAGGACTGGCAGGGGACGGACGATCTAGCTGCTCTAGAGACCTCCGTGGAGGTAGCGAGCCTCCCAGTACCGCTATGTTCCCGGGCGGAGACTGAGAGAAGCGCTCGCTGGAGACCGCTGTGCCCTGAAGCACCGGAGGTGGCAGGGTTGACAGACCAACCTCCTGAGGGCACTGAGGAGAGACGGGCACCGTATGATGAGGTGTACACCGCTCTTCCCCAGAGGGGCCTGCCCTCAGAAGCCATGGAACACTGAAATCAGGGCTGACCCGCTGCCATGTACCCTTTGCCCACCAGCGCTGAGGTGGTCCCCAGCGGCTTGGAGGGCAATGCCGGGGCCTTCAGGGATGATGCAGTGCCAGGAGACAGATAGCTCGCGAGTGTCTGTTCATCCCAAGGCATCGCCCTGTAACCTCAATCATTCAGATCATTTAGCCCCACTCCCTCGAGAGCTAACTCCGCATGCTTCACTGCCAAGCAGACAACACACAGACTGTGTGTATCCCCACCCATAATGTAGTGCGGGCAGGGAGGGACACACAGCCTATAATGCTGCCTGCTCTCGCCCTTATGTTTGTCTTTGGCCTTAGACATGCTTGTGAACTAGATGGTAGACAAACAACAGTAAATAAGACAGACAAACAGAGTTTCAGACTGACACACCACAGAGCACTTGCTGAATGACAGAAGCTGCCGCTGTATCCACCGCACGTGCTTCCTGGTCTTTACGTCACCACGACCGTGACATCTCGCCCATCCATTGGACTGATTACTCATGTGATTCAGAACATGGTCACGCTGAAAGGCGTTCCAAAAGTGTTTAGACACAGCTCGAGTTCCTGAAGGGGAGCTATATGATTCTGAGAACAAATGCAAGTAGAAAAAAACAAAACAAAAAAAAACAGAAAATACTGTAAATTTAAAAACTTACAAGTTAGTCTGGGATAATGACTTATATCTGAAAAAGAAGGGGTAACGCTTTAGATTACAACCTGCAATGTACTGCGTAAGTAAACAGAATTTACAGCGTAACTTTTTTGTAATTATAGTGTACCTATTCAGTACCTCCGTGTAGGTATAAGGTAACAATATTAAAAGTTTGGGGAATAAAGGAGTAATAATCTGTCAAATTGCTAATTATTTATACTGTAAGTATTTTGAAACTAAGGGGTACCTATTCTAATATAACGGGGTATGTATGACCTAACAATCTTATATTTGCAAGCGATTAAGCAAAAGCATACACTGTGCACTTTTTTACAGCCTACACATATAAAACACACTGGTAATTGTTTCAATCCAAACGCTCGGTTGAGACTGTTGGGTTAGGAAGCTGGCTTGATTTGACCCAATTTGGGTTGATATCAGTAATAAGTAACCCGACGTTGCTGGGTTATGAATGTGGAGGACGTGAATGAGAACATGCAGCAAGTCACATGAGTTCAAACGTGAACGGCTCTGTGTGCGACGAAATCCATGACTGCGGTGCTTAAGACGGGAACATGTGTGGAAAATAGGAGAAACCTAATCGAAGCGCAGACGAGGGGCAACTGTGAAACTGTCTGGAGTGTGTTCCTTTAAAACTGCAGCACTGAATGTGGTGATCAGGAACTGGAAACAGCTGGAATGGCGCATGAGACGAGTCTATCCGTGTTTGCGGCGCTCATGACAGGAATATGTGTAGAAAATACAAGAAAACTAATCGACACGAAGAGGAGAGAGATTTTTGAAACTGACTGGAATGTGTTCTTTTAAAACTGGAGGGTTTTGTCCGAGTATGTTCTCACAACATTGAGCAGCGACTGATGAGCGGTAAAACCGGGAACTGAACTAAGTTATTCAAAATGGTGCTTGAGGACGTGGATCAAAACGGTAAATCAAAGACAGTAAAATCCTGTCAGTTCGCTATAATACACAGTTTAATCTTGACTTTCAGTGTTTATTACTGTGTTTATTGGCGTGATAGTTTGGCCATAATAGTTTAACTAGTCATTACTATTTAATCAACTACTCATTAAGTCAGTGGGTGAAAAACATGAACGAAATATATTCTTAAACAAGCTTTTCAAAATAATTTGGTTTAACTGTATAATCTGTAGTATGGAGTTGCTTTGCTTTTTTTCTGAACTGGTGTAATACATTTTTATATTTTATTAGGCGATCTGTTGCCTGTGTTGTTACTGTTGTCATATTGTGTTGTCATATTTCATTTTAAAACCCATTTTGGGTTAATTTAACCCAGCAGTAGGCCTATAGTAAATTGCAAACAATATTTGAATTAAATAAAACAGTCCACCATGTTTATTGATATATACCTGATATATAATGTATGCATGTATGACCTACTGTATAAACAATCGTTTCAGAGCAATTTGTTGTAGCCACTTACCCTGTAACTACATGGAACAAGCGGGGAACAAAGCACCACTTTTAATTTACAGCCCGCAAATGTTGTATTTACCCTGTAACTACATGGAACAAGGGGGGAACAAAGCACCACTTTAATTTACAGCCCGCAAATGTTGTATTTACCCTGTAACTACATGGAACAAGGGAGGAACAAGTTGGACTTAAACACAGAACAAGTGTATATTTGCACAGTAATTACAGAGAACAATATTGCACTAGTTTTAATTTAATTGTTCGATGGAAAATTAAACTCTCTACATTTTTTTGCTATAAAAACACCACAGTATACATCCACTGAAATACAAATGTTGTATCATGTATTTTTTCTGCGAACAGCTGGAAAGAGGTAAGCTTGTTTTAAGCTGCATTGAACCTTGATGGTATATCATGGAAAGTTATTTGGTGATAGTGGTGTTGAGAAGTTGCTGAAATCGGCGAATAAGCTTTCATAAGGTAAGTAATCTTAGTTTCAAAATACTTACAGTATAAATGATTTGTAATTTTACAGGTTGTTACCCCTTTATTCTCCAAACTTCGCATATTATTCCCTTATATCTACATGGAGGTACTGAATAGGTACAATATAATTACAAAAAAGTTACACTGTAACTTCAGTTTACTTACGCAATCCTTTGCAGGTTGCATATCTGGTTGTTACCCCCTTATTACCCAAACGTAACACACTGTTCCCTTATACCTACACGTATGTTCTTTATAAGTACACTATAATGACAGAAACATGCACCGTAAATTCAGTATACTTACATAGTTCTTTGCGGGTTGTAATCTAAAGCGTTACCAAAGAAGGACATCAAATATCTTATGTTTTTTATGCACTCCCACAAATCGGCAGCATTTCAGTCAAGCTAAAAACACCTGTGCAAAGGTTTATTGTTTACCTGTGTATTGCTCTATGTCAGAAGCTGTATCTTCTACAAACAGTATGGCACTTCATTAAAATATTTTTAGATACATTTTTGTGTCCTTAATAATCTTTTATGATTTTTTTAAATCAGTAAATTCACAACTAATGGGGATGTGCTAATCATTGTGCCTAACAATGCCCTTTACTATTTAGCATGCATTTGTACATTTTACATACTACTAAAAAACACTAATCAATTAAATAAAAGCTATTTCAATTCATAAAAAAGAAAAATATTTTGACATACCCGAGTCAAAATAATCCAAATAAACATCTCCCCTTTCTCCCCTTTCTCCCTCTTTGGGTTTGTTGGCTACTTCCATGTCACCTTCCTGCAGCTTAGTGACAACCATAGAGGTGAGGGGAGTGACAAACTGGTATTTCATGGAGAGTTTGAGAGCTTCTTTTTTTTCATCCTCTTTCTCCTGTCCTTTAAGAAGCACTCTGAGACAGAAATAACGAGAGAAGACACACAGACATATGAGGTTTGCCATTAGTTTGCCTCTAAGTTTGATTCCTTTTGTATGGAATTGTTCCTTCTTCCAGGCATATATACTTTCGAAACTGATTTGATCTTGAGAATAGCTATATATATACTGTATATATATATGTGTGCTGTCAAATGATTAATCACGATTAATCGCATCCAAAATAAAAGTTTTTGTTTACATAATATATGTATGTGTGCTGTGTATATTTATTAAAGAATTTATATATAAATACACACACATGCATGTATATACTTCAGAAAAATAGGTTGTTTATATATGAAATATATTTATTTATCATATAAATTATATGAATATAAATATAGACATGCAAATACATGTAAATATTTTCAAAATATATATACTGTATGTGTGTGTATATATATATACATAATAAATATACACAGAACACACATATGCAAACAAAAACGTTTATTTTGTATGCGATTAATAGCGATTAACCGTTTGACAGCACTAATATACATATATATACTGTATATATATATATATATATATATATATATATATATATGTGTGTGTGTGTGTGTGTGTGT